CTAGGGGCCCCCGTGGCCGGCACGTGTTACCAGGCCGAGTGGGATGACTACGTGCCCAAACTGTACGAGCAGCTGTCTGGGAAGTAGAGGGTTAGCTTGGGGACCAGAACAGTCTGTCCTGGAGGCCCCAAGCCATGTTCCTCAGTTCAGTGTTGCATGTGTAATAGATTTCTCCTCTCCCTTCCCCCCTTTGCACAGGCAAGACCTGAGCAGTCAGATGGTGGTTTAGGGTGACTTTTCCTGCTGCCTGGCCTTTATTATTTTAGTCACTTACCCACTCTGATTTATGTTTTGGTCAAATCTGAATTCCATTTTGGGGGATATTTCGGCACTGTGAGGGGGTCATCAAATTGTTAATATGAAAATAGCAACCCAGAATGTAAAGAAGAAAAAAATTGGGGGGAAAAAGACCAGGTTTGCAGTGATAGGGCAAAGCATCAAAGAATCTTTAAGGGAGGTTAAAAAAAAAAAAGGTTGGCAATCCTGGGTCCAGAATGGGACGCAGTGGGGTTTTATGGTGATGTTATTCACCTAGACAGCCAGAAGCTGGCATTGAAGCTTACCCCCAACACGTTGCATCTCAGATGCCTCAATAGGCATCAGTATCTCGCTCTGGTCCCTTTAAAGAGCAGTCCTGGAAAAAGCAGTAGGGAGAGTGGCTTTGCTGTTGTTGGAGCATGGCCATCTCGACCGGCAGCAGTGCTGGCTGACAGCCTAGCAGGAATCCCTATATCTGTGTCTGTTAAATTGATCATTCTTCGTGGGAGCAAGAAAAGCTGGTTTGAAGTTGCTGAACATTGCATTAATTCTGCTATTTGCTTATAGTTGAATAAAAATAGAAACCTGAATGAACGAGCTGAGTCCCTGGATGTTTTGTCCTATTGGGTATGGGTTTCTCAAATGTGGGAAATCTGGTCTCTCAGGGTGAGTTGTCTCTGTGACCAGCAAGTAACAGCTGGGACTTGTTCCAGGGGCCATACGGAGGGTCTCTGCCTCTACACATGCCATTAACCCACGGCAGGAGCAAACCGTTCAGACTTGAGGTTTCTAAAACAAATCATAAAACATGAGGCTGAGTCTTTTGCCCAAAAAGCACTTTTGCTTCAAGTGGTCCTTTTGACCTGAGAAGAATGTTCTAAAGAAGCTGGCTATAAACACCTTCCCCGTTGGTGAAGTTGTGCTCAGACGCCGTAACAATGCTTGAGAAGTAGCGTCCACTAAATGTTCTGATGTTTTATCCACAGAGAATCGGTACCAAAGAGGTGTGCAGGTAGGAGGGTGAGAAGGTCACAGTTTCATGCCATCTAATGTACCAAAAGAAAGGAAAGGAGGTGTTTGAGGGCACAAATCACTGTGATTTGGTCTCTGCGGTGGAAAGAGGAATCCTCAGGCCTCACAGGTGCTAGTGACTCTGCCTTCCCCATCTTTCACTGCAGTACTTGTTTCTCTGAAAAAACTCGGAAACGTTGCCTCTGTGGAAGCACATAAGGTAGATGGAAGTTTTCTTTTTTTTTTCTTTTTTTGAGATGGAATCTTGTTTTGTCCACCCAGGCTAGAGGGCAGTGTAGCGATCTCGGCTTACTGCAACCTCCGCCTCCTGGGTGGGTTCAAGCAACTCTCCTGCTACTGCAACCTCCGCCTCCTAGGTGGGTTCAAGTGATCTCCTGCCTCAGCCTCCTGAGTAACTGGGATTACAGGCATGTACCACTATGCCCAGCTAATTTTTGTGTTTTTAGTAGAAAAGGGGTTTGCCATGTTTGCCAGGCAGGTCTTGAACTCCTGACCTCAAGCGATCCACCTGCTCTGGTCTCCCAAAGTGCTGGGATTATAGGCATAAGTCACCATGCCAAGCCTGAAGTTTTCTTAAAATTCATTTTTTACATAATAAGATTTTGTTGAGGCTGGGCGCAGTGGCTCACACCTGTAATCCCAGCACTTTGGGAGGCTGAGGCGGGTGGATCATGAGGTCAGGAGTTCAAGACCAAACTGGCCAACATGGTGAAACCCCATCTCTACTAAAAAATACAAAAATTAGCTGGGCATGGTGGCCTGTGCCTGTAATCCCAGCTACTTGGGAGGCTCAGGTAGGAGAACTGCTTGAACTGGGACCCGGGAGGCGGATGTTGCAGTGAGCCAAGATTGTGCCACTGCACTCCAGCCTGGGCTACAGAGCGAGACTCCGTCTCAAAAAAAAAAAAAAAGATTTTGTTGAACACCGGTTACAAAGAAAACAACTGTTGGCCAGGTGCCGTGGCTCACACCTGTAATACTAGTACTTTAGGAGGCCAAGGTGGATGAATCGACTGAGGTTAGAAGTTTGAGACCAGCCTGGCCAACATAGTGAAACACCGTCTCTACTAAAAATAGCTGGGCTTGGTGACAGGCACTTGTAATCGCAACTACTCAGGGGCTGAGGCAGGAGAATCCCTTGCACCTGGGAGACGGAGGTTGCATTGAGCCGAGATCGCGCCATTGCACTCCAGCCTGGGTGACAAGAGCGAAACTCCGTCTCCAAAAAAAAACAAAACCAAAAACAAACTGTCCCGTTGACCTTGAAAATAAATGTAAAGGTCGGGCATGGTAGGTGGCTCACACCTGTAATCCCAGCACTTTGTAACACCAAGGCGGGGCAGATTGCCAGCCTGGGCAACATGGCAGAAACCCGTCTCTATAAAAAATGCAAAAATTAGCTCAAGGTGTGGGCTTGTTCCTGTAGTCCCAGCTACTGGAGAGGCTGAGGTGGGAGGATTACTGAAGCTCAGGAGGTTGAGACTGCAATGAGCTGTGATTGCACCACTGTATTCCATCCTGAGCAACAGAGCAAGAGCCTATCTCAAAAAAAAAAAGTACAATGTAATAAGATGTAATATACGTATGTGATTAGACAAGGCGCACTATGGGAAGAAAATGTCTCCCACCTTCCACTTAGTTACTGGTTTCGTGTTTTCTTCCAGAAGAAAATAAAAATATATGTATCAGCATATATATCTACATATTTAGTCTAAAATATAAGTCTTACTATACACACTGCCTTGTTCTGCATTTTTTTCCCGAACTAATGAACTAACAAAAAATACACTGTTTGGCATTTTTTTCCCTGAACTAATGAATCTTTAGTTAAAAAGTCACCACAACTGTTTTGTTTTGCTTTTTTTGAAAAGGAGTCTAGCTCTGTCACCCAGGCTGGAGTGCAGTCGGCTCACTACAACCTCCATCTCCTGGGCTCAAGCAGTTCTGCCTCAGCCTCCCAAGTAGTTGGGACTACAGGCTTGCACCACCATGCCCGGCTAATTTTTTTATTTTACTTTATTTTTAGTAGAGATGGGGTTTGGCCATGTTGGCCAGGCTGGTCTCAAACTCCTGACCTCAAGTGGTCTGCCCACCTCAGCCTCCCAGAGTGCCGGGATTACAGGTGTGAGTCACTGTGCCTGGCGTTCGCCACAAATGTTATTATTTGAGACAAATATTTGATCTTATGAATGTTCTATAATTAATCAGCCCCCTGGGGTGATATTTAGGTTATTTCTGGTTATTTGCTCTTATAAACAGTGTTTCAGTGAACATTTATATGTATAAAATGCTTTATCTTTTTTTTTTTTAAAGATGGGGTTTCACCATGATGGCCAGGCTGGTCTTGAACACCTGACCTCAGGTGATCCACCCACCTCGGCCTCCCAAAGTGCTAGGATTACAGGGGTGAGCCACTTAGCCTGGCCTAAAATGCTTTTTTAAGTAATTTTGTAGAGTGAATTCCAAGTATTGAAATAATTAGGTCTAAGGTTATATACATTTTTCATTCTTTGTTTTTTGAGACAGGGTCTGTTTTTGTTGCTCAGGCTGGAGTTCAGCAGCACAGTCATGGCTCACTACAGCCTCTGCTTCCCTGGCTCAGGGGATCCTCTTGCCTCAGCCACCCAAGTAGCTGGGACTACAGGTGTGTGCCACCATATGCAGTTAATTATTTTTTTTGAGACAGAGTTTCACTCTTTCGCCTAGGCTGGAATGCAGTGGCGTGATCTCAGCTCACTGCAACCTCTGCCTTCCGGGTTCAAGTGGTTCTCCTGCCTCAGCCTCCTGAGTAGCTGGGATTATAGGCACCGCCACCATGCCTGGCTAATTTTTGTATTTTTAGTAAAGACGGGGGTTTCACCATGTTGGCCAGGCTGATCTCAAACTTCTGACCTCTTGATCCACCCACCCCAGCCTCCCAAAGTGCTAGGATTACAGGTGTCAGCCACCGCACCTGGCCCCAATTTTTTTTTTTTTTGTAGACATGGACTTCCCTGTGTTGGCCAGGCTCATTTTCAATTCTGATACTGAGAAACCATTCTTCACAAAGGTCACACTGATCAGATTCATGTCAGTGGTGTATGAAAGGACCTACTCTTTGATACCCTTATCAGTCTTCTCAAACATTTTTACAATTTGATATTTATGCATATTTAAAATCATGTAGTTTTTCTTTAAACTTCTGTCTTAATGAGACATTTGATAACAAGTCCTTTTTGTTTCAAAGTCTGAAGATTAATGAAGAACTATTATGATCTGTTAGCTTCCTTGTCGAAAACAGATATAGAATCAAATGATTCAGAATAAGGTGAACAACCAAGGAAGGTAAAGTAAATGCAAAAGAAATTCACATAAAAAGAAAAATCTGTCAATACTGGCCGGGCGCGGTGGCTCATGCATGTAATCCGAGCACTTTGGGAGGCTGGCGGATGGATCACTTGAGGCCAGAAGTTCAAGACCAGCCTGGCCAACATGGTGAAACACCATCTCTACTAAAAATACAAAAATTAGCCTGGCATGGTGGTGGGCACCTGTAATTCCAGCTACTCGGGAAGCTGAGGCAGCAGCATTGCTTAAACCCGGGAGATGGAGGTTGCATCGAGCCGAGATTGAGCCATCACACTCTAGCCTGGGGGACAGAGTGACTCCATCGCAAAAAGAAAAAGAAAAACGTATCAATACTAACATGATACTAAAGAGAAAAAAAATACATACCTATGAAAAGGCATAGTCATCTTAAATATAGGGTGATGCCATATTTCCCTTCAGCTGGAAGGTGATGTGAGCTTGCCCAAGGCCAGCCAGGAAGTGGGTGACCGTTGTTCTGAACTCAGCTCTGGCCTCAAAGTCCAGCTCATGACCACTGGGTCCACTTTGACACAAACTCGGTTTCTTCATTTGAAAAACAAATCAGGGTTGCTGGGGTTGTCAGCCTGCCTTATTTACCTCACGGCGTTGTTGGAGGACAAAATCATCTTTTGTTGGGATTAGGTTAGTAGTTAATGTATGCAAATGACAAAACTTGACCTGATTGTCATATAAGAACAAAGTACAAAAGCCCAGTTTCCTGGTCGCTGCAGCTTCCGCCTCCCGGGTTCAAGCGATTTTCCTGCCTCAGCCTCCCTAGTAATTAGGACTACAGGTGCGAGCCACCACACCTAGCTAATTTTTGTATATTTAGTAGAGACAGGGTTTCACTATGTTGGCCAGGCTGGTCTCAAACTCCTGACCTCAAATGATCCACCCACCTCAGCTTCCCAAAGTGCTGGGATTATAGGCCTGAGCCACCGCACCCGGCCTCACTATTATACGAGGCTGGAGTACTGAGCTTGGAAAATGGGGCAGACAGGCCGTGTCTTGCTGTGTCACCCAGGCTGGAGTGCAGTGGCACAATCTCAGCTTACTGCAATTTCTGCCTCCTTGGTTGAAGTGATTCCTCTGCCTCAGCCTCCCGAGTAGCTGGGATTACAGGCATATACTACCATGCCCACCTAGTTTTTGTATTTTTAGTAGAGATGAGGTTTTACCATTTTAGCCAGGCTAGTCTCGAACTTCTGACTCCAGGTGATCCACCCACCTCGGCCTCCCAGACTGCTGGGATTACAGGCGTGAGCCACCACGCCTGGCCAGATATTTACCATTTGTTTCTCTTTCTTCATTCCCAGAGACCCAAGTGTCATTCCCTTCAGTATAAGGAATTTCCTCTAGCATTTCTTATAGAGCAAAGTCTGCTGGAAATGAACTCCTTTAATTTTTCTTCATTTGAGAATGTTTTAATTTTACTTCCATTTCTAAGTTCCTTCTCCATAACTTATCTGCTTTTATTTTTCAGTATCTTCAGGTAGTCGCTTTTGCATTTTGTCCAGTTTTTAGTTGTAATCAGTGGGACTTACGTTGGTAAGTCACACTGAATCAAAATTAATTTTTTTTTAGAGAGAGACTCTTGCTCTGTCACCCAGGCTGGAGTGCAGTGACGTGATCTTGGCTCACTGCAACCACCACCTCCCAGGGTCAAGCAATTCTCACACCTCAGCCTCTCGAGTAGCTGGGACTACAGGTGCCCACCACCACGCCTGGCTAATTTTTTGTATTTTAGTAGAGATGGGGTTTCAACATGTTGCCCAGGATGGTCTCGAACTCCTGACCTCAGGCAGTCTGCCTGCCTTACCCTCTCAGATGTGCTAGGATTACAAATGTGAGCTACTGTGCCAGGCCAATAATGTATTTTTCATATGTGATCATTTCTAATATTTAAAAATATTTACAAATATCTTACTAAGTTAAAGTCACAGAGGTATATAGAGTTTACATGGGCAGGTTTCCAGTTTCCCAAGAATACTCTTCTCTTGTAGATACGTAAGCAAATAATTACAAATGGTGGGAAATTAAAAAAACAAATTCATTTACCTAGTTAGACACAGTTAATGCTAGTAAGCACTCTCTGACACCACCTATAACTGGTATTATTGGAGTTCTTTTAAACTCCTGGTAGCACCCAGTATTGTGTTGTCATGCCCTTCTTAGTCACTGCTGAGTAACCTAGTCCACTGTTGATTTACTTCCTTTTCCACGGAGATTTAAGCCATGAGCCTCCAGCACAGGACCAGCTTCATCCATTTTATTTACCATCATATCCCCAAGCACACAGTAGATGCTCAATAAATATTCCCTGAAGGAATGAGTAAAGGTATGCTGATCCTGGCATCTTCTTTTATTTTTTTTTTCCAAGACAGGGTCTCACTCTGTCACTAAGGCTAGAATGCAGTGGCATGATTGTGACTCACTGCAGCCTTAACTTCCCAGGCTCAAGTGATCCTCCCACCTCAGGCTCCTGAGTAGCTGGGCTCACAGGGACATGCCACTATGCCCGGCTAATTTTTGTAGAGATGGGGTGTATTAGTCTGTTCCCAAACTGTGATACATACCTGAGACTGGGTGATTTATAAAGAAAAGAGGTTTAACTGGCTCATGGTTCCACAGGCTCTAGAGGAAGCATGGTTCAGCAGGCCTCAGGAAACTTACAATCATGGCAGAAGGCAAGGGGAAGCCAGCGCATCTTCACATGGTGGCAGGAGAAAGAGCATGAGAGAAAGCGCTGTATATTTTTAAAACAACCAGACTGGCCAGGCGCAGTAGTTTACACCTGTAATCCCAGCATTTTAGGAGACCAAGGCAGGCGGATCACAAGCTTAGGAGTTTGAGACCAGCCTGACCAACATGGTGAAACCCCATCTCTACTAGAAATACAAAAATTAGCCAGGCATGGTGGCGAGTGCCTGTAATCCCAGCTACCCGGGAAGCCGAGGCAGGAGAATTGCTTGAACCTGGGAGGCAGAGATGCAGTGAGCTGAGATCACACCACTGCACTCCAGCCTGAGCAATAGAGTGAGACGCTGTCTCAAAACAAACAAAACACAACCGGATCTCATGAGAACTCACTATCATGAGGATAGCAAGTGGGAAAATCCACCCTAATGATCTAATCACCTCCCACCAGGTCCTTCCCCTAGCATTGGGAATTACAATTCCACATAAGATTGGGTTGAGGACACAGAGCCAAACCGGATCATGGAGTTTCACCGTGTTGCCTAGGCTGGTGTTAAATTCCTGGGCTCAAGCAATCTTGGCCTTCCAAAGTGTTGGGATACAGGTGTGAGCCACCATGCCCAATTGATCCTGGCACTTCTGATCTCCATTAACCTTCCTTATTTATTTTTTTTGTGAGACAGGGTCTCACTCTGTTGCCCAGGCTGGAGTATAGTGGTCCAATCTTGGCTCACTGCAACTTCTGCCTTCTGGGTTCAAGTGATTCTCCCACCTCAGCCTCCCAAGTAGCTGGGACTACAGGTGTGTGCCACCGCACCTGGCTAATTTTTATATTTTCTGGTAGAGATGGGTTGGCCAGGCTGGTTTTGAACTCTTGACCTCAAGCAATCTGCCTGTCCTTGGCCTCCCAAAGTGCTGGGATTGCAGGCATGAGCCACCTCGCCTGACCACCCTTCCCTATTTTTTTCTTCATCCCTAGCACTTATTACTCATAAGATCCTTTATTTATCATAATTACTGTTTGCTCCCAGTTTCCTCCTACCTCTAATGTAGGTTCCATTAGGGCAGGGATCTTCACCTGTTTGAGATACAATAGTATATCTCTAGTGTCTAGCCTGGCATGACATATAAGGAACTCAGTAAATATTCATTAAATGAATCATCACGAATCAAAGGTAAGTCGTCCTTCCTCACTAATATGCATGACAAACCTGTAATAACTTTTTAACTCAGGAGAGTTTAGAACATGCTGGAAGACTACAGGACACTGGCTCTTTGTCTCTGTCATAACCGTTCTCTAGCTGCCATCCTTTTTTTTCGAGACTGGAGTCTTGCTTTGTCACCCAGGCTAGCGTGCAGTGGTGCAAACTTGGCTCACTGCAACCTCCACCTCCCAGGTTCAAGCGCATCTCCTGCCTCAGCCTCCTGAGTAGCTGGGATTACAGGAGCCTGCCACCACGCCCACCTAATTTTTGTATTTTTAGTAAAGATAGGGTTTTGCCATGTTGGCCAGGCTGGTCTTGAACTCCTGACCTCGTGATCCACCCGCCTTGCCTCCCAAAGTCCTGGGATTACAGGCAGGAGCCACCACGCCTGGCCCATGCCTTCTATTCTTAAGGACAGAAAGGTGCAGTTGACCATATGCCCACATCAAATGGTGCAACACTATCTTCAGCCCCGTAGAACTTGGAAGACACAGGTTTACCTGAAAGTCCTGAATGGCTCTTCTTGGAGCGACTGAGGCTATGGAGAACAGTCTCAGGAGGGTGGCCGGCCCTCTGAATTGTGAACCGGTGAACCTGGAAGGGAAATCTCCTGCTACAATAACACAGCAAGGCAATGTGATGAACACTTTTATTTACAAATATAATTAAAAGCTCTGACAGTTATCATGCTCTTCCTTGGAACCTGAAAAATGTTTTGTTTTTAAAGTGCATGCAAAAGAAGTAAAGCCTTTTTTTTTTTCATCATTTTTTATTGTAAGAAAATACACAGTTTGAAAGTGTGAATAATGCAATATTTATGACCAAGAAATGGGACTTAGGAAGGGAAAGGGAAATAAAGAAAACGATCAAGATAATCTGATTGAGAGACAGTGTTGAACTCCAAATACTGAATTGGAAAAGGAGGAAGGTGGGGAGGAACAGGAGGAGGAAGTAAAAAAATTTGATCAGAGAAACAGTTAAAATACAATATGAAAATAAGTAATACCTCTCCTTAAATTCCTTCTATACACAAAATACACGATTTGCCAAAGCCCAATTTGTGCTACTGGGATTCTGTGAGCTCCTTAAGTGTATTCACATCCTCTGCAACAGCAGAAAATGATTATGATACAATCAGAATATGCTGAAGACAAGTTAAACTCTTGCCAGCAGGTTCTTAAAAATCACAAGATCTCTTCACCCCACCCACCCCCCATCCCCAAAAAAGTAATAATATGTCACCACTGATATGTACATCACAATTAGTTTCTGTAAAATGTATCAAATTTTCAATCTTTAATAAAACTTTGTTTTTTTTTTATTCCTGATGAATAAATACCAAAAAAATAAAATAAAATAAAATAATGCAGCAGCTAGTTAAGGTGTAAGGCTGCGGATATTGTGTCTCTCTCCCCCTTGGCATTTATTATTATTATTATTTTTTGCTTTACTTTCACAGATTGGTGGTAATGAGTGATTGCTTAAAGCAATATACATCCACTTTTTTTTTGTTATTGGTTTATTGGTTTTGTTAAAACTGTCTCCGAAGTTTTCACTGAAACATTTTGAATCACATCAATACTGTGACGTGTACTATGAATAGAAGAGACGGCCAGGTTTTGGCCAGCACTGAAAGTTGACACGGGGGGAGGAAGGGGGCCCCTGATGGAGTAAGAATAAACAGGCACTAGTCCGACACGATGTCAGTAAGAGTAAGAGAGAGAGAGAGTGAGAGCAACGCCCGTTAAAATGGGGAATGTGGTTTTGCAGGGTCTGAATTTTTTTCTGTTTTCTTTTTTTTTGTAAATGGCAAAAAATTTAATCTCATCTATAGTCCTCCTTAGGAAAATCTAATGTAACCAAATTCCCAAATCCCATTCTGAGGCTCTCCATGTCAAAAGTTTCAATCTCTCGCTCTTGCCTTTCCAATAGGTACTTTATTCTCTCGCTGCGTTCCTTCTGAAGGGCAGCCAGCTCCTCTTCAATCTGAAACAAGCATAAGGAAGTTCTTAATGGAAAGCATCTCCTGACAGGCACCCACATGCATGCATTACACACACAGGCACACATGACATGCACACACACGTAGGCACACATGACATGTACACACACACATGACATGTACACACAGGCACACATATGACATACATATAGGCACACATGACATGCACACAGGCACATGACATGCACACGACATACACATATGCACACATGACATGCACACACAGGCACACATGACATACACATAGGCACACATGGCATGCACTGGCACATGACATGCACACAGAGGCACACATGACGTACACACACAGGGACACATGACATGCACACAGACACACATGACATGCACATACAGGCACACATGACATGCAGACACATGACACACGCACACATGACATGCACACACAGGCACATGATGTACACACAGGCACACATATATGTACACACAAAGGCACACATGACATGTACACACATAGGCACACATGTGGCATGTACACACACACAGGAACTAAGGGAGGACGGAGGAAGGCTGGCCGAGTCCTGTGATCAATGAATCTAATCCATTATATTTAAAACTTGCTCACAAGAATAAAAATGTTTGGGGCCCATCTGGGACCGGCAATGCCACTCTAGCAAGCCCAGCAGCTGGGCTGATCTAGGTCAGTGTCCTGTTTTAGCAGGGGATGGCTCAGGAGAAGCTAAAAGACACTCAAGCACAATTAGATTGTGCTGCTTTCCCATAGAGAGCCAAATGCCTCCTGGGTCATTAGTAATTTAGTTCTAGAACAGGAGCTGGGAAAACAGTCTGTGACGCTGGTCTCAGGGAACTACTGGAAGAAAGTGCACATAACTGGTTAAGCAAATAAATGCGTAACAGCTTTGAGATGCCTTATGAAATCTTTTCTACTTCATATTCCTCAGAATATCTAAAGCAATGAATATTTCAGTTGGGATAACATTTATTATGCATGACAGTATCAGCCTATCGTTATTTTAATTTTTTTTTTAAAGAGACCTGCTGGTGATTTCCTTTGGTTTAAAAATAGCTGAAAAGCCAAATCTATTATACATTTGGCTTCCTTGTGCCATTTGGCAGCTCTGCTATCAGCTCACAGTACCTTTCAGGTGTCACATCAACCCCCCAGCAGCCCATGTCACTCTATGGCTGGGAACATTGAGGGTTTCCTAGCAGAGTAGCAGAAAGACTTAGGATGTGGGGTCAGACATGCATGCCTTGGTGTTTTGGCCTGTAGAATGGGGACAATGCCTACCTCACAAGGGAACCAGTAGCATAAAGCAGGTAAGTGAAAAGTGTCCACTTTAATCTCCAACTAAGGAAGTTTCCACATATGGCAGTTCCCTCAGCCACACCCCTTCCACCCAGTGGCATGGACCCCCGGTAATGCCTTCATACCTTCTGCTCAAGATGTGCTCTGCGCAGAGACACCCTCTGCTCTAGCTTCTGGAGCTCACGTTCATGTTGTGCCTCTGTTTGCATCTTGATTTTGCTCTGGTAGGCGTTGAGCAGCTCCATTTCCTGCTGGAGCTGTAGCCTCAAGGCCTGGCATTCTGCTTCTTGAGCCTCATCTAGCCGTAACTGCGGGCACAGAAGACACACACTGTCATGCACCCTTGCCTACAGCTCTTGGTGACTACTGGAAGAGGTTTCCTCATTTTGATTGAAATTGGTCCCCCCTCAAAAACACAGATGCTTTGGATACATTCAGAGTTAGAAATCAAAAACAGTCAAGTCTGCCCAATGGGCTACAAAGTACACATTCTTTTCAGTATGGTCTGAAACCACAGCAGCAGGCATCAGGAAGGCTGCATAGTCCAGGTTATAAGCCTGTGGGCTTTGAAGTCGGCACCTGCGCTTGAATTCCAGCCACACCATCCACTTGGTTGTGTTACCTTGGCACATTACCTACTTCCCTAGACCTCATGTTTCATCCTCAAGAAAATAAAAAGAATGGTTCCTATTGCCCAGGTGCAGTGGCTCATGCTTGTAATCCCAGCACTTTGGGAGGCTGAGGTGGGCAGATCACCTGAGGTCAGGAGTTCAAGACCAGCCTGGCCAACATGAAGAAACTCCCATCTCTACTAAAAGAACAAAAATTAGCCGGGCATGGTGGCAGGCACCTTTAATCCCAGCTACTCAGGAGGCTGAGGCAGGAGAATCGCTTGAACCTGGGAGGCGGAGGTTGCAGTGAGCTGAGATCACGCCACTGCACTCCAGCTTGGGCGACAAGAGCGAGACTCCGTCTCAAAAAAAAAAAAAAAAAGAATAATTCCTATTGTCTGAGATTGGTGGGAGGATTAAATGAAATAATTCATATAAAATCCTAGGCACAGTTCTCAATGCATACTAAGTGTTCAATAAATAGTAGCTGTTACCATTATTTTGGTTTCAACTGATCATGTCCTTATTTCAAGATCTTTAACCCTAAAATCATTTAGATATGCTTAGCTATAAAAAAATGAATCCAATTTCCATAAAACTTGAGGAATATACCACAGTACGGTTATGCTCCAAGTAGTAACATTGGCACCCATTGTTTGCTATAAAAGTTATCTTGCAGCCGGGCATGGTGGCTCACGTCTGTAATCCCAGCACTTTGGGAGGCCAAGGCAGGTGGATCATGAGATCAAGAGATGGAGACCATCCTGGGCAACATGGTGAAACTACGTCTCTACTAAAAATATAAAAATTAGCTAGGTGTGGTGATGCACACCCATAGTCCCAGCTACTCAGGAAGCTAAGGCAGGAGAATCACTTGAATCTGGGAGGTGTAGGTCTCAGTGAGCTGAGATCACGCCACCGCACTGCAGCACTCCAGCCTGGAGACACAGTGAGACTCCATCTCAACAACAACAGCAACAATGTTATCTTGCTAGCCAGCCAATCCAAAACTCTAAGTGGTTCAAAATCTCTTCCCTGGCTGGTTGCTCACCTCTGTTAACTCAGTGTTTTGGGAGACCAGGGTGGGAGGATTGCTTGAGGCCTGGAGTTCAATACCAGCCTGGGCAATATTGTGAGACCACCATCTCTACAAAAGTTTTTTTAAAAAATTAGCTAGACATGGTACCATGTGCCTGTAGTCCCAGCTACTTTGGGAGGCTGAGGCAGAATCATCTCTTGAACCCAGGAGTTCGAGGCTGCAGTGAGCTATGATCACACCACTGTACTCCAGCTTGGGAGATAGAGATCTTGTCTCATTAAAAAAAAAAAATCTCTTTCCTAAAGAGGGTAGGTAGGCTTAATTTTAAGAGGCATATCTGCTTTGAAGCAGTGATGTCCAGACTATATGCAGCCTCAAGTTTCCCTTGCTCCCTGCCGCACCTGAACTTGGTCTTTTTTTTTTTTTTTTTTTTTT